TTTGAGGCCCGTTTCCCTGTCCTTGGCCTTCCGCGATGTGCTCGCGTCGATGGTGAACGAATTTTTCATTTGGTTCGTGATGTAATTAGAAATTTGTATGACGTATGTAAAACGTACTTTTGTTCCATAGCATCTCACCTTTTCTGGCATTCTGGGCATGATCAATTCGCAACCTATGAACTCTATTCTCTGTGGAAGTTTTTTGAGTACTATTTGTTGCTGCTAATGGTATTGGTGCGATGCCCCAATATTTATAACGACGTTGGCTCTGATATGTTTATGTGGTTTTCATCTGAGATATAACATTTCTTGGGGAATTCATGCCCGCTGACGAGGAAATGCACCTCCATTCTTATGTCAAAGCCCATTTTTGTGCATATTAAGAAAAATAAAAACGAAAATGGTTTAGAAGACCCGTATCTTGCGGACTCCCTATTATTGTCTTCTTTTTTTCGTCGCTGTTTCCTTCCCTTTTAGTAATAATATTGTGGACAAGAACTGCCCATTGCCAGTTGGTAAGGACTTGGGTCTCTTGGTCATACTAGACTTAGAAGTCTCAAGTTTGAACATTCCGGTGAGCTTAATATCGAAAAACCCTTGATGTCTCTTGGGTCCAGGCCTTAAGATGAGTGCAGGTGCCCTTGGGTGTAGGGAAGCAAAGTTCCGATTCCCAATTTTTAACAAGAAAAAACAAAAAAATATTGTGGACGAGAAAGAAAGTGAGTCAGCTAACACATGCTAGGTGATATACTCAAAACTTACTCCAATTCCGCCTGCTTTTATGAAAACACTTGAACCAGTCACAATCTTTGGAGCTGTCACGTTTATAACAATAAGTAGTAATTCAAACTTCAATCGTTAGGTTAAATGGGACCGGGAAGAAGTTAAATGAAAGCTTAGCCTATATCAAAATGGATGAGAAGGATGTGTGCATGCAAAATTTTCTGCAAATAAAATCCTGTGCAAGAATCACTGGGATGTCCTTTGATTGCAGTGAGATTGGTAGCGTTAGTATTAGGAGCTGAAGGTCACATTTATTAAAATTGAAAACAAGCATCATGGACTGAGAATGCTTAGTTTCATAAAAAAAAGGGCCAATAGAACATGTCTTTGTAGGAGTTGAGCGAAAACTTCAATATATTTAGGGCTATTATTATTCCTAACTAGTTTGATTTCTACCAGTAAGAGATGTTCTGAAAGGCATGATATGTGTGATAATTTTCTGTGTCCCTGTTGTTTTATCCCCTGTGGCAGAATTGTGATTTTGATCATCCAATTATTACCATGGAGTTATTGTTAGTTGACTTCTTGTTATGAAAGAGCTTCTTGGAGCATTTTAGTATTCCTACACTTTGTGTTTTGGTTGATATTCAGATGAAGTTTGTGATTCCCTTTCTATTTTAGGCAGAGCAAGAGGTAATAGGTATATAGTGCAATGCCAAAAAACCTGTGCTGTTACTCTTTGCCTCTAACCATTTGGTTTTGAGGTCATTTCTTGTAGATGGTCCACCTTGTTTGAGGTGCCTAATTGGATGCCTAAGAAGCTGAGGTTCTTTGCCACATTGGTGTAAAGCAGGAGAGTTAATATAGTGGATAGGATGTGGAGGAGGCCCTACTCTGAATGCCTTCAAGTTTTACTTGTATAATCTATTTATTTATCTATTTATTTATTTATTTATGTTTTTTGTGGAGAGAGCTTAAGAGGATAGGTGTCATTTTTGGTTGATTGATCCTTTACTCATGATATATGGTATGACTTTGTGCGTACTTTTTTTTTCTTCATAAATTTTGAGGTCAATTTTGTGTTTAACTATAGGACTGAGGATAGTTTGGGGGAGTTGATCAGTGCTTTGCCATTCTTAGTGAAGGGGATAGTTCTGGATTCTGGCCTTTTTTTGGGGCATCTTTTTAGAGTGTGACAAAAGAATTTTAAGGATAGACTTTTACAGGGTGACGAGCTCTACGGCTCTATTTTTGCAGCTTCTTGGTAGTTTCTTTACTAATTTGAGGAGTATTCCTCTTTTAATTGTTTTGATTGGTTGTGCTAATTTCTATATGGTTCAAACTCTTGGGAGTTTTTGCTGGCCTTGATTATTTTCTCGTTCTTCATAATGAAAGTCTCGTTTCTTTAGAAAAAGAAAAAAGAAGTTATGTTGTGTTCTAAACTTGGCAGAGCATCCATCTTTTAAATGGATGGATTGCATCTTTCTTCTGTTGATGAATAATTTATGGTCATTGGTCTAATTTATTTTGAATGTAAAGAACTGAATGCATAGTTAGGCATATTAGTTGGTGTTTGAAAAAAAAGTTTGTTTCTTGTTAAAAATTTGAAAAACTTTGTCAAAGATGCACCAAATGTTTTTTACTCCAGAAGCTATATTAGCCTATGCACCTAGCAAGATAATGTTAATAGTAAATAGTTTTGATAGCTATCATGCATGTAATTATAAAATCTGGACGTAATTTCTGTAGTGAAGTGAATGTGCATATATAAATTACTATCTTTCATGCTTGGCTTTTAAGTTGACTTGAGAGCGATATGTTGTAAATATGATGAACTTTTGGGTAATCAAATCATGCTTGCTGTATGGCTGCATGGAATTTGATTACATCAAGTATTTAGGGTGTACTTAAGCTTTGCATTAATAATCAGTTTCGAAGTTATGCATCATATTTGTCTAATCCTCTTATGTAACTAAAATGATACAAAAGATAACAACCAAAATATTTGATTAAAAAATCCTAGGAAGTTTGTTTCTCTTGAACATTGCATTTCCTTTCCATTATATCAATGAGAAGTTTCTATCTTGTAAAAAAAATCCTCTACCTTATTGTAGCTTGTTTATCTAACTGGTTTATTGATTAAAAGCTCCTCTTCTATCCCTTCATTAGTTACTTACTGCATAAACTTTGTTTAAGCATATTTTCTTTCACTTGCCAGAAATAAACATGAACTGGAATTGGACTTCAAGCGTTGTTGGGAAGAATTTCGGTCATCTAGCTCTGAAAAGGTAACTGGTAACCGTATTTTTTGCCCTTTGATGCATTTGTTCTCCCCCCCCMCCCCCCCCCAAGTCACATGCACCCAAACCCACCCAGAAGATAGTGTATCAATTGTGATAGAGCATTGATATTCTTTTTTGATAAATCATGCAGGAGAAAGAGGCGGCCTTGAATATGACTGTGGATAGTTTTTGTAGATTAGTGAAGCAACATGCTAATGTAGCTCAATTAGTTACCTTGTATGGCTACCACTTCCGCCCTTCTTTTATGACAACCTCAGTTGATTGATATTTTGATATTTTCTATGCCATCACATTTTTTGATTGATAAATCATTTTCATTCCATAGCATCCAATTGTTAAGTACTTATAAATGAGAGTTTATATTTTGTAATTTTTTGTATGACATAATGGACCTGTGGCTCTTATTTTACCTCTTTCTCAAGCTATAGCTTAAATGACATTTAGACGAATTGGAGGGCCTTATTGTAAACCTTCCTTCTTGGGTTCTCCCCTTTTTTGTATATTTCATGTTATCAATGAAATATTTGTTTCTCATTAATTTTCTTTTGCTTTTCCCTGGCACCTCTTTCAGAAAAAGGAGTTTCTTGGATGTCTTTTCCATCCAAGTACTGGATTCAAATTTTAAATTTATGCCTAAGACTAAATCATGACTGATTATATACTCCAAATGTGTGACCGCTGTGTCGCATTTATCCGCAGCTACATGTATGCCCAGGATTGAAGAATGTAATCACAAATGGTTCATTTAGGTACCTGAACTGTTAAAACTTGGTGAAAGAGGCACCCGGATAGATTTAAATTTTGAGCTTCTTTTAGATTTTTTTATTTTATTTTTTTATTTCTATATATATATAAGAAACTGAAAATGGTATATTAGTTGCAAAAGAAGGACAGCCTAAGGGCTCTTCTTGGGAAGAACTATTACAAAAAAGCCTTCCGATTCTTAATAATCATGGAGTGGCTGTAATTATAGAATTTTTTGTTTCTTGTACTCCACCATGAGGCTAAGTACCGAATGCTATCCACAAAAGAATCCTCTGAATTAGCTTTGTCCTTGAAAACTATTTCTTTCCTTCAAGTAGACCATAAAGCAGCCTTCACTGCACAACACCACAGGACCTTAACTTTGCCCTTGAGCCTCAACCCTTCCAAGATTTCCAGCATCCACTCGTCAGCCTTCTTAGGAAAGCAAATAGAAATAACAAACTCCTTGAAGATGAAAGACGAAGCACTGAAAGCAACAGGACAATGAAGCAACAAATGATCTATTGAATCCTCCCCCATTTTTACAACGATAGGAGACTGAAAGAGACAAAACCCAAGTAGGGAACTTCTCTGTTACCTCTCTGAAGTGTTACTGCCTCTGTGCAACAAATCAAGCCCCTCCACTTCCCTTTTGGGATGTTTTCTGGTTTTGAAAGAGTTAGGAAAGTTGACTTAGAAGAGAAAGAGCCTCCTGTTTCCAAAGACCAAACAATCGTATCTGCTCCCTCCCCCAAGCGATCCTCTCCAGAATATCATTCAAGGATATCCAATTGGCCACTTCTCTATCAGAGAAGCCTCTTCTAAAACCCAAATCCCAAGTCTGATAGTCATCCAACCAGCAAGCTTTTAGGAAGAAGCTTCTTTTAGAATTTAAATGGTTTATGATGGAATCAACTAGTCTTCTTACTCCTGAAAGCTTAAGGTATTTAACTAAAATTTAATTTGTTTAATTCTGGAGATTCTATGAGATTAGTACCTTGTCTTAGACTTAAGATGATTACCAGAAGATATTAATTTAACCATTTAGGCCAAACTTGTGGACTTTTGATATTGAATTGAGACAATCAATTGAGGGATTTTAATATGGGATCAGGATCACTTTCTTTGATACCTTACATTTACATTGATTTTGAGAAGCCCTAGTTCTAAGATTAGCGGTAATTTAATTTTTACAGTGCATGGTCTAATGTATAATGACTGCTTTTTTTTTTCTCCAAAAATAGTTTTGAGGCATGTTATTGTATGTCACGGGGTGTAAATGACTGCTGGTCTCTGGCTTAGACACTTTTTTAATCAGATAGGATCTTCTTTCTTTTGAGTTATTGACTGACTTGGAGTGTTTTGGTGGACTACAGGTTAATCGAAACACATATATTCTCTTTTGTTGTGGGAAGAGCTTTTGTTACAGATATTGAGAAGCTAAAAATCAGCAGTAAAAGAAGGTCTTTGGATGTAGTAAAAGTACTAAAGTATTTTTCAGAAGTTGCTGAGGTTTGCTATGCAGTGATTTCTGTCTCATAAAAATTACCTTAAACACATTATTCAATCAAACTTAAGTTGTAACTTCTTTGCAGGATGTTATTAGTCCAGGTGCAAATCTGTTGACTGCAGTTGAAGTCCTTGTATCTGGGGTATATTCCTTTTAACTTTGCGAGATTGTGTTTATGTTCAGTATCTTTTTTTTAATAAATTTAATTTTAAAATCAAATATGATATTTTTCTTTTTTGTCATTTCTTCTAGTGCCGGTGTGTATTGCTGTCCTGATGAGTACTTCAGTATTTGATTATTTCTATGCATTGGTTTTTCTTTCTCATTTTGTCGATAAAGTTGTCAATATTCAGTGAAATAAGAAGACTATTTTTGTAATATATTGGAAGTAACAAACATATTTAGCCAAAGATATTTGGCGTACAGTGATGAAAGTGTATTTTCCTATTATAACACTATTTATGCCATGTAATGAAAGAAATATGAAAATTGATGGCTGTTTCTTTTATGCTTATAACATCAAGCAGTGCAGACTCTTCCTTCCTTGAAATCTTATTTTTCAGACAATCTTTTGCAGCCTATTGACAAGCAATCCCTTCTTGATTCGGGTATATTTTGCTGTCTCATCCATATTCTCAATGCCCTTCTGGATCCTGATGAAGCCAGTCAGAGGGAAAAGGCAGCTAGTTATGAAGAAAAATCAAACTTGGGTGAAGATCGCAGTGGTCATGTTGGACAAGGGCGCCGGCTAGAGGTAACTTCTAGTTTTTCTCAATGAGACGCATGCATTCATATACAACATCAGGAGTGCTCTGTTTTTTTTCTCTTTTTTTTGTGTTTTTTTTGCCATGTGCTTTTGTATGAGCCGATGAACCTGATCTAATGATGTTTATTTTTTCCCACTT